AAACTTTGTAGATCCATCATGCCTTCATCATATTTACACCTAAGCTGAACATGGAAATAACCATAGCTATAAAAACTATCTTCAGATATTTCGTGAAATTTTGATTTCTTATGATGTTTATGTATATGGTGGTAGGGATGAGCATTACTGAAGGCCATGAACATGGACAGTCCTACCTTGAACCGTATACTCTATTCATCTTTTAGAAATCAAAATGCTTTACTTCATCAGATGAGAAAGTCTGATCCAACATAGTTTTCTCTGGCAGACAGCAATCTGATACTTTATGTCTGGCTTAAGCACTTATTGTAAAATTCCTAAATAATTAATAGTATTTTATGGTGCTTAGGGAGTGGAGTTTTTTTGTTGTCCCTGGAATTTGCAGAATTTTAAGCCAGGAGGTGGTGCCCATTCACTCGATAAATTGCTTTTATAGTATTAAACCATGAAATAGAAATGCAAATCTTTGTTAAAACCCAAGTACTATATAATATACCTCATACATAGATTCTAGGCATCTGATTGGTTAAAAATTGGACAATAGAATGTCCTATTCCCCTGAAAAATAGTACTTTTTTGACCTGTCGTGTGATGTGCAAACTCTAGGCTCCACACTTAACATCGCACTGACGGTAAAGGGGACTGCGATCAAAACGACGAAAGTGGCCTTGACTATGCCACGGATCAGCGAGTAGACGATAAACAAATATGTAGGCTGGTCGGGTCGAGCTCCTGGATGAAGAAGAAAGCTATGATTAGCAATACTTCTTAGTGAAGCAGATAGCAAAACCACTAAAAGACGAATTAAATATGTCTTGTCGATATTCGAAAAATATTGCAAGACGATGGGTACTGTTAAAATTGAGGAAATGAGCAAAGAAGAGTTAGACACATTCTTTGATTGCGTAAAAGGCCTAAGGTAGGCCTCTTCTAGGCAAGGCTGGGAAGTACTTTTTTAGCCCTCGTAGAATCTATGTATGAGGTATATAAAACAAATATTGACTGCTAGATTCGGGGGAACGGTGACTTCCGTTGCCCCTCGCTGATGTGGAGACCGTAACCTATCTTCACTCGCCCATGAGGCTGCAGTCTCCACATTACCTTGGGACAATAGATTTCACCATTTCCCTCAGGAGCAGTCAATATTTGTATACTATAATCTTCCAGTTGCAGATATTACATAATCCCTATATCATTTGTTCTTTCTTATCTTCGTCGATACCCTTTGCCATTTTTATAATTTCTTTTTGGTAACAGTTTCCCTGCAATTTCATCTCTGACTCACTTTTTCTAAATAAGATTTTTTTTCAATATTTTTTTCTGGTGCTACCAGATTTAAAGCCTCTATGCATGGTGAATGTAATAATATGAAAGAATACCTCTGGGTTATAGAAATAACAAGTTGTATTAACTTTTTTCTTCAGAGGCCTAGGTGTTGGTATCTATACCACTAACTCCCCTGAAGCATGCCACTATGTAGCAAGTAACTGCGAGGCAAACATCATTGTTGTTGAAAATCAGGCACAACTGTCAAAAATACTTCAAATATGGGACAAGATGCCTCATCTGAAAGCAGTTATCCAATATAAAGGAGAGCTGCAGGAGAGGAAAGAAAACATTTACACAGTAAACAATTTAACTTATTTTTATTTATTGGTTTTTCGCCTCAATCCAGACATGGATAATGATCTAAATACCCAGTTCGTTTGAATTACTTAAAAAGGAATTGCACTAAATTTATAGTGAAAGATGCAATACAATAAAGAACTATTAAATTTTAAGATAATCTAATCAGTGTTGAAAAATGATCCCCAAAAAGAATGATCACGTGGAAGGATAAAATATCTTTACCAGTGTTTATTGATAATATGAATAAAACATTTTGAATGATTCATTGAAGCTCTTCCTCTTAAATTGTTGGGCCAGTGCCAACGACTGCAATCTTGATAATAGGCTTCCTTTATTTCATATCATATCATATCATATATACAATTTTAATGATATTTAGCATCCAGTGTGATGAACTAATACTAGGGATGTTTAAGTAAGTTGTCAATTATATTTTCATTCCTAATTAACAGATCCATAAATAATACCTGTATAATTTCTTTATTCTATAACTTGTTAAAGAAGGTGGTAATCAAATTAATAATTAAGAAAAAAGTGAAAAGTGTGTGTAAATCACTAAAAATATAATATTATAGAGCAGTCAGTCCATAGAGGGTATAACCTCCACCCTACATGTGCTTGGATACTGAACAATACTCAGGGTAATGGGCAATTCCATTATTTTATTCATGTTTTTTTATGCTCAAATGTAAGTTCAGTTACCTTGACCATGTTCTTTTTATGTACCATGCCACTAAAGTTGATCCATTCCTTAGTTTTTGCATAATCTTGCTAACAAACATACAGACAGGGGTGAGTACATAACCTGCTTGGCAGTGATTGATTGATTAATTCATTCAACAAAAAACTAAATTAATACCTTTTTTCTTGGCAGTGGGCTGAGTTTATGGAGCTTGGTAAAGACATTAGCGATGATGTTGTAGACGCTATTATCAATTCTCAAGCTCCTAACCAGTGCTGTACGCTTATTTACACATCGGGAACTACTGGCAATCCAAAAGGAGTGATGATCAGTCATGATAATGTAAGTGGATGCTATTTATTTATTGGAAATTTGCTGGTTATGTATGTTTCGACAGATCCCACTGACATCATGTCTACTCGCACAGATAATGTAGGTTACATGATACAGTTTCTTATGGTTGGTTTTATACGTGATGATAACAACTTGACTCACTTGGAAGCTAGTCTATGACCCTGTATTAGCATTGCCATACATCTACGTTTGAGGGGGTAGTAGCCGTGAATTATGAGAAATACTTTTAATGACAGTATATTCTTGTTTTTTGGATGGCAAGCTTCATATATACAGTGCACACAAAACAAAATTCATTTTTGAAATTAACTTGCTCATTTTGAAGTAACATAAAAATTATCAACTTGAACATAGAAATTTGTATTTTTAATTCAATAATTTCTATGGTAAAGTTTATAATTTGTGTGTTGCTGCAAATGAGTTAATTTTAAAATTTTGCGGACATTACATCTTTAAGAGTACTACTGCATTCAACAGTGTACATTTATACCCCAATTAAGCAGAAGAACAGAAATACCTTGGTCAAAGACACAAGCAGTACAAAGAGGTTTTTTTTCGTAACTTCGAAAAAAATGATGATCAAAGTTGAAGCACTTTGTCAAAAAAATTTCTTTTCTAACCTGCAGTATGTGTGGACTTCGAAAGTAAGTTTTAAGACTGTGGCTCTGGCAATGGCAAGTCACAGTGGTGTAAGTTACTTACCATTGAGTCATGTAGCAGCGCAGCTAATGGATATATACATACCTTTGGTAGGGGCAGGCTGTACTTACTTTGCAAGACCTGATGCTTTGAAGGTAAATATAATTGTGCTTTTATCATTATAATAATTGTAATTTATGAAAGAATATAATCTTAAAAGCAAAGTGGAGACAAAAAATAGCAAAATTTTGTTTCATTTTGTAATGCAGTACTCAGTACATATTTCATTCTATTTTTTACTTAAATAAATCAGCTCTACAATTGCTTTCTTTTCCAAGCAAATTGTGATCTCTCTTATTTTATATTCAATACGTGGTACTTCCCATGTTTTACTAGTTTTTGGAACACTGCAAATTCTGTGAATTGCCCATGCTTAATCAAATCCTGTTTTGAAACAAAATGAGAGTTTTAGTGAAAACAACTGAATTGAAAGTTGCAAAAAATAATTGCATTTCAACTGAACGAATCCCTCATCCAATTTGTGCAAGAATTTTTACCTAATTATGACATCTCAGTCTTTGTTTCCTTTGGGAAGTACTCTATAATTATCTTAATCCAACCAGGTAATTTACACTTTAACATACAACTCAATTATTTTTTCTTTGGGAAGTCCCTATAATCCACTTTTTCTCCACTACAAGATGTGTCTGTACTTGAAGATGTTGGATTTAGTTTTTCAGGATTATACAAGTGATTTCATAACACTTACTCAGTTTTTATTATTTACTTTGTTTTAATGTTTTTGTTTTGTAGGGTACTTTAGTAGATACCTTAAAAGAAGTCCGTCCCACCGCATTACTCGGTGTGCCACGGGTTTGGGAGAAAATTATGGAACGGATGCGATCTGTGAGCCAAAATGTGACAGGCTTCAAGAAGCGAATTGCTATTTGGGCTAAAGGGATTGGATACCGGGGCAACATTAATATCATGAATGGGTGAGATACCTATTATACAATGCTTACTGCCTCTTTAAGGTTGTGTCATCACCTAGTTACATTTGAACTTTCTCTATCCAATCAGATTTAAATGATGTATTATTAAATGTGTTGTTGTTTGTGTTTTAGGTCACCGCCACCTTGGGGTTGGACTGCCGCTAATTTCCTTCTGTTTAGGAAGGTAAAGTGTTTCATAAACTCTGTTCCAATCGTTCACTAACTAAGGATAAGTACTCAAATGCTGGGCTCACGCTAACCAATCACCAAATTGCCATGGGCGAAAAATACTTTGGATTGGCTAAAAAAAAATCAACTGCTTTAGCCATAAGCTTGCTAAAATACATCGTTTTTTTCATTTGAGCTCCATTTATCGCTAACTCCATGCGACGCTTATTTGTGTTGTTGTATGAGTAGTCTTAATGCAAACGTCATTGCGTGCCTCGCAAGTTATTTTTTATTTGTAATTGTTATTTTAACGCGGTAGATGCATGGCAGTGGCTGTATGACCTAGACTAATATGAAGGTACACCTAGCTTGGGTTTTTCCACTAAAACATGAGGGCCGATGCAATGTGATGGTGGTCGAAACAGTAGGCCTATATTCTAGTGTCATTAATAATAATTTAATCAGTAATTTCATGTTATAGTCAAATACATAAAATACCTTTAAATAATGTGTGAAATAATTTAATAATGTACCGTGTGGGTCACTTTGATACACGGTGTACATACTTGTGTTGTAGAGAAAGTAATTTCGCAAGCAAGGCTAGCCTAGCCCAGGGCCTAGATCGTGTTTCGCCCTTGATTATCATGGTGACAGGCGATTGATCCCAACTGGTGTGGACGATCGGGTCCCAAGCCAATTTTGAATATACTGTACTCTAGTTAAACTATTACTAGCTGCCCACCCCCGATATCGTTGAAAACTAAAAAGAAAATACTGAATAGGCCTAGGCCTACATAATTTTTTTCAACTTTTGTGTTGATAGGCCTACATATTCAGCAAACTTTCTAAGTACCTCATTTATTGGTCTGCTAAAAAATATTAATTTGCCTATCAAATAACATTATCTCTCCCACCTCCCTGAACCTACTAGAAATTTTTTCTGGTAACCTCACTGAGGCAAGGGTGGTGAAACCACCCCCCCCCCCTTTTTTTTTGGAAAAAAAAAGAAGAAATAATTTATTCTCCCAAAAATACATCAGAGGTTTATTTTTTAGGTATTTTTGGGAGAGAAATATACTGTAGGACCTCCCTAGAGTAGTGCTGTCCCGATCGCCTCCCCCTTGTACATCTCTGGATCCACCCCGGTAGGACTCTAGTCAGTCCCTTTGTTCGGACTCCACTGTCAAACATGTTGGACACCATGTCCAGTCAGCAAGTTTTGACTAATGATTTTCAACAATTTTTGTCAAATTTTGGCTAAAGACAGCTTCAATTGGCTAAAAAAATTTGTTGACTTCAGCCAATTGGTTAAAAAATATGTTAGAGTGAGCCCAGAAATGCAAGCATCTACCAGTTTACTTTAGGATTATATCCAAAGATAAAAGACAGGTAAATCAGTCTAATTGCTGTTTATTCTTTTTGTAGGTAAGACAAACTCTTGGCTTGGACCGTTGCCTTCATTGCTTCTCTGGGGCTGCTCCTCTGTCTCAAGAAACTGTTGAGTATTTCTTGGGTGTTAACATACCTATTTATGATTTGTATGGAATGAGTGAAAGTTCAGGTAAATCAACATACTATTAATTTCATTTTTTCACCATAATGTCAATCATAGAACACATTTTTTATTTCATTATTTTAACTGAGGAACGCATTCAGTATTAAATACCTAATGTCCCATTACTACAGGGAATATACTTTTTGCATTGCATACTTTGCAGTTTGTCGCTGGATTCCAGTGCAGTATAATAGTAGCAATGCATGAAAAGCAGATACTCAGTATTTAGCACTTTCGTTGTACTCTCTCTAGTTTTTTCAACAATATATCACATCACACAGCTATAAAGTTAGATAAACAAGTACATAATAACATCTTAATCCCTTTACCATTCATTTATTTAAATATTTTTTATCTGAAGTTTTGTTATTTGATTATATTTTTATTATTTTTAAAAAATAGGAAAGAGTTTGATTTATTGAAAAAATGATCAATGTATGATGTAAGTAGATAACAATGTAGTCTTATTCACAGTTAAATTGATAATTTCAAATGGCTCTAATTTCATGGTAAAAGCCATAGAATGCATGCTAATAAACTGTTAAGTACATTTTAACGCATGTGCTTTAACAATCTAATTGTGTAATAATAAAGATAATAATAATAATTATTATTAATATTATCATCTCCGCCAGGAGATATATGTTTTCAGTCGTGCAAGTTTGTGTGTGTGTGTGTGTGTGTAACGTTTTGGTGTTTTTGTGTGGTTTTTTTTTTGTGTGCGACATATCTCAAAAATGGCTGCGTTGACATAATTGAAAATAACAGGGAGTGTTAGGTGTAACCCAGTGAAGAAATGATTTTGGTGACGGTCCGTAGTAGAGTGTGAATGTGAGGACCATTTAAAGTGATTTGAGAGCAAACGTCCTTGACAATATATTTCAAAAACTAAACTGATATCAATGAAATTTTTGTAAAAAAATTAACCAAGTTACAAGGAAGAAATTATGAAGTGTTGGTGACAATCCAAATTCGGGTGTGCATTTGAGGGCCATTAGGTTATCTCGTAAATGGATCAATGGATAAAAATGACAATTTGCAGAATAGTTTGTCATGTTTTAATAAAGAAGTTTTAAATTTTGGTCACAATGTCATGAATTCCTACTTGACGTATTTCCGAGCGGTAAAGAAATGACTAGGAATCCCTCTTCAACATATAAAATATAAACACAGTTCACAATATTGTAGCACAACTCTCAAATAGACTTATTCTTTATAAACTCCAACAAGAATCCGGTCTCAAAACAACGCAATAACATTATGAGTCTCAAAAAAGAGCTCCAGAAAGAAAAAACTATGATCTTATATACATTAGCCCTACAACTCCAGAGCTATCTAGAGCATTCAGTTTTGCCGAATTTCCTTATTGGCCAGTGTACATCATAACTAACCAATAGGCTTATTGCCTCTAGTACTTCAAAAACTAGAAGCTTCCAAATTTTTCTCTTGGATTCCACATGGTCACTTGTGTTCCTATAATTGAACCAATGTGGTTTACACTGTTTTGTCAAATAAATGTTCTTCTAGAATGTTCTATGTATTAAATATCTTACAATAAGTAAAGGAATAATAATTTATTACACACGATCCGAAGTAGGGTGTGGATATGAGGACCATTTAAAGAATAAGTTTACCGTATTACCGGAAGCAGAAACAATAGCTATATGATGAATATTTAAGTGCAATTACAGTAAAGGTGTACTAACTTCACTTTTTTCGTAACTTATTGGGAATATTTCTAATGCATCTTTACATTTAAACATTTGACACTAAAAAACAAGTTTTTAAAATTCTATTTGCATAATATTTCCATTTCAACACCAATACATGCTATGTATTTTTTTAGCGTTTTAAGCATACTAACTTCACTTTTTTCAGAACTTATTGGCAATATTTTTAATGTATCTTTGCTTTTAAACACCTGACGCTAAAAACCAAATTTCCATATTTCTATTTGCATAATATTTCTATTTCAACACCAATACATGGCATGTGTTTTTTTTTAGTCAGTTGTAAGAGTAAAACATGCCAGTGTGTTAAGCCAGAAGATGTAAGGAATTGGCAGGTGTACATATGATACAATACAATGCGTTTGGAAAATAAATTGATTATATTTTGGTGTGGATAATATATGGACCATTCAAAGCAAAACGTTGCAGATCAGATATGTCAAAAACTAATTAACTGAATTGAATGAAACTTTTGTGTTAGTAATTTTTTTAAGTAGATGGTGGCTGGAAAGTAGGAACATATTTTTGAGGATTTATTTTATAGAAAGAGATTGGCAGTGCAGGGGCGGATTTAAGGTGGTCCGGCCCAGCCCGGCCCCTGCCCTCTTTTGGAAGGTTAAAAAAAAAAAAAAATGATAGCCCAGAACGCCTTAAAGGTTTTCGGGCGTCTAGAACACAACAATTTTGCGAGGCATGCCCCGGACCTCCTAGGACAGTGTTGTCTGAATCGGCCCCCCTTTCGGCCCCATCCTTTGGGCATATCTGGATCCGCACCTGCAGTGGGCTGAGATATGCTCTCTACTGAGTGCTCTTGTTATTATTATTATTATTATTGTTGTTGTTATTGTTATCATCATTATTTAATATTAAGGTAAGAGGTACAGGCAAAAATTGTTTTTGTGTAGTTTGGGGCAGTTATTTCGAGAACAGCACATATTTAATAGTGATACAAAGATTCAAATCAACTTTATTGTCAAAAATGAATTTGAGTCAGTGGTGCATACAGTATTACTAATTAATGAAGTAAATGGTCACATGATAATTTAGGTTGTACATAATCTATCTGACCTGTTCCAACGCCAGCATTATAGTATCCCGATAATATGAGACATCATCAAAGCATTTAGGTGTGTACACTTGATAACCAAGATCTTTATTAAAATTAAATTGTATTTCTATAAACTGTGAGTGTGATGAGTATTTTCAGAAGCAGTGCTTCTCAAAGCGGGCCTCTGCTACAGTACGCCTTCCTTTCATTTATGTGTTTATTTATTCATCATTAGAAAAACAGCAGCACAAAAAGCTGAATTGTACTACCAATTTACAGTTCAATCACAGTTTTTTTTTAGTTCAAGGAGTAGCACGCCCTCTATTTTTCATTGCATTAGATAAACATAACTGTATGCTGTGGAAAAACAATGGCTGGATCTTGGTAGAGATACAAATTTGCGCTACATCTTGAACTAAAAACAAACTGGAAATTACCATCGTGTGTGGGTGTACTGTATGATTGCAGGCGCGTAAATATATAATATTCATAAACAATAATCTACAGTTGATTAAAACATAAACAAACATAGTTATAATTAATAACAAAACAACCACATGGACTTATGTATGCTAGGCCTACATTATGTTCTCATTGACTGGACCACCCAGCCTACTGTATAGGGTGGTTTGCCTATAAACTGGTTGAACAGTTGAGTAAACATTCTATGTGTTCGAATACTGAACTGCTACCTCAGATTTTTCAATATTCTTTCATTCTGTATGTTTACATTCACGCATTAATGCATTGCCAGAAAGATTTAATAGATACATTTTTATCCTGATTTCAATAGCATGCTATATATTATGTAGAGAAACCATTTCATATAGATTTTAGATATCATTTCATTGTTAAATATTCCTTTATGCATTTTATACACTGTACTATGATTTGAATTACAAATTTAGTGTATGCATTTTTTGTCATTTTGCATTACAGTATGTTCTAATTTTTATATATCATTTTATATAATATTGATCCATGTATTTTTTGTATATTAATGTGTTATTTTTATTTTCAGCTCCTCATTCGCTCTCTATGCCTGGCAATTTCCGTCTTGGAAGTGTGGGAAAAGTCATTGAAGGTGCAAAGACAAAGATCAGTGATCCTGATGAGAATGGCAATGGGGAGGTTAGAATTATTTATTAATGTATTTTGAGGGGTAGTAAGCCTCTACAGATCAGCCAAGCTGATTAGAAGAAGCCCTCTATTTCAAGTAGCAATAAGAAAAAACAATACCATTAGAGAAAACTTAAAATGATGATAAAATTCCAAATAAAGTCAGACACATCATTTTGAATCAGCATTTGCATGTCTTACTTTATTCGAAATACATATTGTATTAAGTTATCTAAAACTTTTCAGTACAGAAATTTTAAAAAATACTTTTATTACAACAACTAACAACATTTTATACATATATGAAAATGTATAGTAATACATTTTACTATTACGTAGTTTTTTTTTTTTGTTTTTTTTTATTGTATTAGGAAATAGCCACTGTGTCACCTCTATGCCCGTATGCTTATTTAGTACTAGAACCTTTACTTCATTTACTGCATGAAACACATTACTTGTAATGTTTTTCTAAGAATAATCAATATGACTTTACTATGCCATAAAGGCCATTAATTATTAATGGTGCCATTATTAATGGTGGATTTCTTTGGTAGGTATGTTTTTATGGTCGGCATGTATTTATGGGTTACCTTAACATGGAAGCAAAAACCAAGGAAGTTATTGACTATGAAGGCTACCTGCATTCAGGCGACATCGGCATGGAGGACAAAGATGGGTTTTTGTATATCACCGGTAGAATCAAAGGTATATCTTTGTAAATTTTTACAGAACAATGAGACAAAAATTATTACATTGCTATTTGATTTCTATCATCCAATATATTTTTAATAAATATCTTTTATATTAAAAATTCAATTAATAATGGAATTGCCCATAAACGCCCTGCATTTACTAATTCGGAATTCACGAACAGGACTGAGGTATGGGTATAATAGGTAATATAGTTGTTGTATTTATAGTTATTATGATTATTATTATTAATAATTATTGCTAAAAATTACAATTACAGCTCAAAGCATATACAGTATTCCTTTCTGAAATCTCTAGAATATATTTTGCTTAGCCCTGTTGGGTGGATTGTAAAAAAACACATTGTCAGGACATTGTCAGATGACCATTTCAATAATCACAAAGTGACTGTCTATCATTGTTGGACTACAAATTAAAAACTTCTTTCTATGTAGAACTAATCATAACTGCTGGAGGAGAAAATGTTGCTCCAGTCCCTATTGAAGATGTGGTCAAGAAAGAAGCTCAAGTTATTGGAAACTGTATGCTTATTGGCGATCAGAAGAAATTTCTTAGTTTACTCGTCACCTTAAAGGTTTGAATGACATTTATTCATATTTTACATGTATGTAATTTTTGTTTTATATAAATAGCATTGTTATTGTTATTATGATGGTATTTTAAAACATTTATTTACTTTATTAATTTACTTATTTCTATTTTGATGTAAGTTTGCGTCAGGAAAATATCATAGGAGTTATGAATACTCAGTACATTCCCAAATTCTTGTGAAAAAAAAAGAATTACTTGTTTCTGTTATTGAAATTTATTGTGACTAGATAATCTTATATTTATGTACTATTTGAGTCACTCCAATGTTCTTGCCAATATCATGAATAAGCCACTGCACTGGAATTTGGCTCAGTACAAATACTATCGATTGATAGATTGAAGAACAAGGGTTTAGAAGCAGGTGCATTAAATTACAGTTCTGTTTTTTTTTTCTTAGGTAAAAATTGATGAAACCACATTGGAGCCATCTTCAGAACTGAGTGTGGAAGCCCTGAATGTGTGTAAGACAATTGGAAGTGGGTCCAAAACAGTGGCTGAAGCCATCGCAGACGAGAAGATAAAAAGCTATATACAGACTGCTATTGATACATACAACAACAAACATGCTACATCCAGAGCGCAGAGAATTCAGAAGTACATATTTATTGAGAAGGACTTCTCAGTACCTGGGGGAGAATTAGGTTAGATTTGTATTATTTTTGTTTTACTTTGAATTCAACAATATAATAATTGTTGATAAATTGATCTTCATTGTTGTTTGATTTTCATTATATCATAATTTGTTAAGTAGTTGCTGATTAAGTGAGCTCTTCCAATAAGATTAAGAGGGTTGCTGATGGATTGTTTTGTTTAAAGGGTGGCGAAATGACGATTGGTTGAGATTTCGATCAGTGTTTGTAGGTTTGTGGTGTAGCTTGTGTCATAGCAAATTGCTGGTGGTTTTGGTAACACATACATCCAAAAAACAGGATAGATCTATCTGATTCAGTTTCCATAGTGAAAGCGATAGTGCGGTGTTGTGCATTAATATACTCATGACACTGCTTGGATAGGTTGTGCATGCACTGAGCTCCGCCAAGCATACATAATAATAGCACACAATGGCCCCACCTGCAAAGTCAAAGCGGGCGGCTAAAAAAGCATTGAATGAGGCTGTTCAGATGAATTCCAATGCCATAGCTCGGATGAAGAAGACGTTAGGCCTGACAGTTTTGAATCTTATGTTCGTGAAACCCTTAAAGTATTGGTGGACGGTCAACGTGAACTGGAAAGTAAATTGGCAAGGTCAATTGAATTTAACAGTGAAAGGATTACAGAGCTGGAAGGTGCAGGGATGATATTTTTCTGATTTAAATCGGATTTCCGATTTTTTAAACATGAAATTGACTTCTCGATATTATGTCAAATTCGTGGAATTTTTTTTTTTGGAGGGACGAGTAAGGGTGGTATTGGTGGTGGAGGTTGGTTCGTAATGTCGTATAATCGTTTTTCATCTTCTTCTCTGAAGCTTTATTTAAAATAAACACACAAAATTCACCATGTTGGTGGCGCTATAGTGATATTAATTAACTGATGATCGGTTCTCTTACGTTACTGCCATCAAAGAGTATAATATACTCTTTGCTGCCATGTACTACAAGTGCGTTTATAATGGCAATCTTATTCATCCGGTGGTCGGACCTATAATGTGTCTATCGAGCTTGCAAAGAAAGCATGCGTCATATCATTTGCCACCCGTTATACCGTTTCGGAATTATATCGCTCTCGTTTTTGCTTACTTTTGTATTTACTTAATTCGATAAATTAATTAAACCATGGCTTCGCTAAAATTTGTGAAGCGGAAAGATGAAGGAACTGTGAAGGAAATAGAATAGATTTGTTGTTCAACACCGAGGCCTAGCGCGACGAGGCCCATTCTAGGCCTGACATCATCGCGGTGCTAAGATGCTCTAGCTCTGGGACGCGTGCCTCCAGGACAATGTCTAGTCTAGGCCTAGGTGGCGTCGTGAGGGCTTACAGCTACCCACTAGCGCCCCCCCCCCACCATCAAAGCCAACTCGGATTACAACCAGCAGCGCAACCCTAATAGACCATTTCTATACAAACCAAATTAACACCGTGATAAAATCTGGTGTACTCAAATAAAATTTCAAAATCGATAGGTGTTATTAATAAACTCAAATACTTTTTTCCGCAGCGTATCTTATTAAACCTATATAACTCACTTGTACCCCCTTATTTACAGTATTGCAATATTGTATGGGCAGCCGACTATGCAACCAATCTTAATAAATTACATAAGTTTACAGAAACGTATTATTCGTATTATATCCCCCTTTTATTCTCCGTCTGAACCTTTATTCAAGAAATTAAATATTCTTAATATTTATGATCTTCACAAAATCCGAATTTCCTCTTTTATGTTTAAATATGTCAATGGACTACTACCTTCATCAATTTCTAATCTTTTTATTAATCAATCAATCAATCAATCAATCAAGTTGATTTGGTCATGTGTATTTCGTATTAATTGATTCATTTTTTTTTTAAATGGGTCAGGTTGAGACAAATTGACACTTCTAGACCATAATTCCCATAACTATTATTTTGTTAACAAATTTGTTTGACTTTAATTTATATATTTCTCATTCATATGCTTTACTATTTTCATTGGCAAATTATGATTAATTATGTTATTATGGTGAAATAAATGTTGAAGAAAAGAAGAATAGGTAGTAGGAATTCCCCCAGATCACAAATGTACCATCAACATATCGGAGCCATAATCGGAGCAATATATATTTCACCTGGTCTCTGTACACAGTGGCGGCGCCAGCGGCAGGGGGCCTTAAGCCCCCATCAGTTTGGTCAAGCCCCCCCCCCAATCGGCCAAAGCTCGTCGGACCAAAAGAAAACAAAAAATAGGCCTAGTTTTCCCATCCCAGCCATTTCCGGCCATCTAGATGTCCCAATTTTTTTTTAAATCTTGTTTTGGGAGGAGGGGACATTTCCCCACCCCGACTCAGGCCTTCAGCCCTCAGACAACGCTGCGCACTATAGTTACACCCATAAATACTTAGGGCTTCCCCCCCAGTGGGACATCTTAGCCGCTCCCCCTCCCCCCTATAAATTTTATCCTAGAGCCGCTAGTGTCTGTACACTGCACCATATAAAGACTGCAGGCAAAAGCTTGAGTAATTAAATAATTGAAGTTAGTATACTGTATATAAAGTGCTAAAAGTTTTTTGGTTATTTTTTCATACCAGACTAACACATCTCTATATTGTTGCCAAATGATCTGTGTAGCAGCAGACAACAAATATATCTTAAGAATACCACAATAATTTTCAAGCTCAATACCATATAGGCAAGGCCTATTAGATTTTATTATAAAAACTCTGTATGAACAAACGTTTCAGAAAATCCTTTGCTATCTTCAGTGGTACGATTGCTAACATGAAATATCCTTTATAAAGGGAGTAATAACTATGAAGCATTGTTTTTTAAATAAGTGGGAAGTGAGCCATAGCTATTTGAAACAAACAACATGACATTGCATTTTAAAGAATTGATTGAACCGTAAATGTAAAGAAGGAGGAATGGCATGAATAAAGATGAATAACGTAATGATGAACGTCAGAATGACAAAGTTAAATTACTAATTAATGTTACTAAAAGTTGCTTGTTGAGAGAAGGCTTGTTCCATTTGATATGCAACGCTTCCTGTTGAAGCGGAACACAGTACACGGAAGAATTCCTCGTTGCATGAGGCTTGACATTGCAATGAACTTTTAAGGTGTGCGACTTCCTGTCCGTGGTCATCTGTTCATTAACGTGCGTTGCAAAGTGTCGGCCAGTACCGCCTATATAGCAGGCATTACAGCCAGCCAACGTTCGAATGTAGACCATTTGGGAAAGGATCTTTCACAGAACACATATTTCTTATTTTAAATGAAGAAAAATATTTTTTTTTTATATTGTTGTATAGCTGTAATTTATTGTATGTTGTTTTAGTGGTAAATGACCCTTGGAAGTAATAAAAAAAGTTGATGATTATTATGGGTTTTCTTCAGTCTGTTTATAATTATTACTTGTCTGAGCAACACTCCAGTTTAATGTTTGTTTAGTATTGCCTAGTATCTCTCAGTCATCCACAGTAGTAAAACCAGTTCTCCCAATCATTATTTAATATAGATTTCAGGAATTAACCATCAAAATGTATTAAATGATTTTGTGAGTATTAAATCCAGTTACTGGTTGGATTAGATTAGATTTCCCACAGAATATTTTTTAAATTAAATCATATTTTTACCTTAACGAAATTGTAATTCTCTTTGTAATATTTTTATTAACTTTTTATATTGTACATATATGAATTGTGAATTTTTCAGATTTTAATGTTTGTTTTGGAGAGCCTTTAGATAGTGATTAAGTTCGCTTTTAGGTAATCCTCAGGCTTTTTGTCATTTGTTTCTCTTATCTATTGTACTGTATTGTCTTGCCTGGAAAGAAATAAAATAAAATAAAATATGGGCCACTTGCATTTGAGCGCCCTCAAGTTGAAACACACAGAGAGCAGCAGCTGGAATAACTGCTTTGATTACATGCTGTTCTTATCTCAATCATTTTCTTATTTCTTTGAAGGGCCAACTCTGAAACTGAAGAGACCGGTTGTGCTGAAGATGTATGCCAACGAAATTGAGAAGATTTATGAAGATGCCCAAACACCTGGTAACTGATGTAAAATGAATTATCTAAACATCTGAAAATTTTAGTAAAATCAGTGGAGGATCTAGAATAGAAAAGGTAACATGTTGAACGAGATGATAATATTTATCATCTTTTTACATCAATGATGAATATTCAGTTTACCAATTTGTTATATGTGATGAAGACTAGCCAAATCCGTCACACCTCGCAAATCATGTTTTGGAGATAGTTACAAAAACTATGTCGGAATGTAAACATTTTTAAAAACCTTTTTTATTGCACTACTGTATTAATAATCCCATCATGCTATGTTGTTATTTTCCCATTTTGGATGTTTAAACAATAGAGCTATTTAAACAACTAGAGTGCTGACAAGGTGACGAAGAAATGCAGAGTTGTGTATGTGCGCTACCTTCAGGCTTATTATACACATCATATCCATAACTAAACCCCCTGACTATTATTTTATTAATCATTATCATTGATAATATAAATTATTAAAACTAGCATAGCCAAAAAGAGGCCAAGTGGAGTGTCTTATTTAAAAATAAAGTACTGAGGAATGAAAATTGAAATCGTGTACGTTACACCTACGTTTCAACATATGGGTGACTTAGCTGTACTCAACTTTCTGTGTAAATTGAGGGCGCAATTGCAAATGATGGTGCTTAGGCAAATTTTGATTGGCTAATTCTACGGCAGCCATCTTGGTTGGTACACACACACAGCTCTGCATATTTCGAACATCGAATACATTGCAGTTAGCGCTCTAGTATTCTTATTGTAACTCTATGGTTAAAACAAATTTTTTTTGATAGTTTCCATCCAAGAATTGTCTGAAACATGAACTTTGAAGGCTGATTTCTCAAATACTGTTCTTTAAACAGCTGTATGTTTAACCTCTTGTAACTTCGTAACAAAATGCTGAATTTAAATGATTCTTTTACCATATTATTTTTGTGAGGAGTGATTGGTTTGGCTTGTCTTTGATGCATATGATTTTGACAAAGGAATAGCCCAAAAGTTTAGCGTTTGGAAATATGGCAGTACCTTTGTGTAAATACATCACCATTGTAACATTATGAATCCACCACTGATATTACTGACATGATATGCAAAGAGGCTTGTAACGTAATGTAAGATGACTAATATTATATAATCATAGTTTATTTTGTTTGGATTTAAAAAAAAAGTATCAGTGATCGATTCTATAGATACCATAAAACTTCAATTAGAAGCCCAGCAGACTTAATCTCTCGAAGGGAAGCCTCCTTTTCAGTTTGCAAAGTAATTTCGAAAAGAAGCCCATGGGCTTATAAGCAAAATAGTATGGGTTTCTTTTTGAGATAGTACTTACAAACAGACTGACTTAAGCTTTGATGATTATAATACAGGCGTGTCAGTATCAATATTATTTTACTGTAATAGCATGGTTAAAATTTAAAAAATATTAAACTGAATTCCATAGTTGAAAAAATTTGTGTGCTAGCAATTCCAAATATTTACAGCATTCATTTTGAAAAGAAGCAAAAACTTAAGTGTGCAAAAGTAATCTCGAAAAGAAGCCCATCTTGAAAAGGAGCCCATCCAAGACTATTTGAGGTTTTACGATATTAAGGTTAAATATACTATGTTAAAAGTAATTTTGTACCTTGATATCTAACATGTTTATTGCAAAAATAATTATTGTATTGGAATGATTCTAGAGTCAAAATATTGTGTTAAATGGTATACACGAAATGAACATTAAAAACAATGCAAATAATAAATATTCCAGTTTATAGATCCATAATTAATGCAATTATTTCACACAGTTGTTTTGATAAAGTTGTGAAACAAAAACTTATGTTTTAACATATTTAGAAGAAATTTTCTGCGGATAGATGGCTTGCTAGTGAAACGATTCTTGTGTTAAATGGTATACAAGAAATGAACATTAAAAACAATGCAAATAATAAATATTCCAGTTTATAGATCCCTAATTAATGCAATTATTTCACACAGTTGTTTTGATAAAGTTGTGAAACAAAAACTTTTAGAAGTTATTTTCTGCGGATAGATAGATGCCTAGCTAGTGAAAATTTAATTGTACATTATTAGAAGCTGATATTGGTTCCATAATTTTTGATTCACTAACAGACACATTTACACATACATGAAATAGTCACTACACAGGCCAGTATTTAATCTAAGTTCATAAAATATACAAAAGAGTTACAATATAACAAACCATTAAAAAAAACCACTAAGTCAATAGGCCTATACAATAGATATATATTAGTATAACACTTATTTAAAATATAACTTCAAAAGGTTAAAAATGTTTTAGATTTTGAACCACTGTGTCCGGAGTTTCTTCAGGCAAATCCTCCAAAGTATGTGGAAACAAATGGAACATTGTAAACAATGTGTTCGTACATAATAATGTACAAATGTAAAATGGTCACGATGTTGGTTGTTAATGTCATGTAGTTAAAAATATTCAAAGACCCATGAATACATGTGGGACCAACAGCTTAACTCATCTGAAGGACAAGTTAGGAGTTAAGTGGTATACACACAAAATGAATATCGCATTGGCTGGTTAGAAATCAGGGACATGTGTATTAACACCTTACCACCGTACCAACGGTGTTCTTATTACCAGGTATTGCTGATGATATATCTTTATTTGTGGGAAGGTAGAATCCAAAAAAAATATAGCAAGGTAAAATTCACTAAATTTTGAACATCCTGCCCTCACTGTATGTTTTCAATATCCCAGGTCAACTAATGAGTTCATAATTATAACATTTCATGTTTTACTGTACTACCTCAATTTGTTGTGTCTTAATAACAAAATTAATTGCAATGTCAACAATTATTTTGGATTTAGTTAAAAGTGTGCAAAATGTATATCCATGTTGGATAAACCAAAGCCATTATAAGTAATATATTAATGACAAATGTGTGCAATTTGAATGGAGCTTCTGGAGATGGTAGTAGAATCTTTAGAAACTAATCATTCCTATACTGGACTCTAATTCATGCGGATTTGAAACTGAACAAAAAACTATTAAACCTCCACTGGTAAATGCCCTTCTTTTAATAATTTGTCAAATAATTAGTGAATTTAAATTTTTATAAAAGTTGATCAACTTGAGCGTCTCAATGTTTTTTTCTTAATTGTTTATTTTCAAATTATGCATGGTTGGTAGCACAGTTGTGTAAAGGCTGACTGATCCACTCATTCATGTGGGGGTGTTCACAATACTGTATGCTTATACAGATATCTCAGTCTCTATAGATGGGATTGAAATCAAAGCATCGTTCCGTAACATTTCAAATCGTCCCATCTTGCATAGTATAATAGCTGTGTGTGATTGTACTGGTCAATTTAAAATGTAATACTGTACAGTTGAACTTGCCTAAGTCGAATCCAAAATAGCATTGAAAAATTGTTTGACTTAGATAAACAACAATTTGGCATGTAAAATAAGGTCGACTTAGGCAAGCTTAACTGTACTTAGATATTGAGGTGGAAAGGTCAATAACACTGTACTTATTATTATTACATATCTGTTGCACTTTTAACATTTGTTGCCCATACTTGTGGCCAGTAGGTTTGAAAATTCACCTGAGAATAAATTACATTGCCACCTGATAAAAGTATTGTATAGTTAATGTTAACGCAATTATTTTTTAGGTTTAAGAAATCAATGCAACAATTCTCTTGATCTAATTCTCTATGAAGTGTTGTAGTAGTAAATATTTATTACAGACATGCTATGCAAACATATATTTGTGCTATGATGTGATTAAACCTCATGAATCAGGCTGATAAATTATAGTCGAACCTTGAATTTTTGTGTGTTGCAAAATAATATATTATTAATGGTATATAATATACAGTAGCGCATATCTATGCTCCTGCGCTTAACACTTCCTATTATATTACTACCACTCTCACTACTACATTTTTATTTATACATTTTATATACATTTTATATACAGGTATAATTAAATTGAGAAATGAGAAAAATAATCAAAAATAACGGTGGCAAACCGTGCAGGATCTCAGAGTCAACCACCTGCTTCTACCCAGGCACAATTGCAGACCTCATCTTAGGTGGTACGAACAAAGAACAATGCTAGAACAATGCTGGAAAAACTGCTCCCTTTGCAAGAAGCATATGGTTGATGATACAATAGTACTGGGTATAGTGCATTATTGAAAATGTAATAGGGTGTTAATAGTGTGTATGACAGATCTGTTTCATAATGCCTACTAAAATCTGTAAAACTATTATCAAATTATAAACAACAATAAAACTACTAAAAATCTGTAAAACTATTATCAAAAAATTATAAACAACAATAAAACACACAGGTCAGTTTTTACTGTAGAAATCTTTAATTGAAAAATATTCGGAAAGATTAATGACTCACTACCTCAAAGACATCAGCTCACCCCAGAGTTTACACGGTCAGGCTCAAGAAATCACCTGTCAATTGCAAACTTATTAACTGACTTGCCCCTGAAACAAAAAATTAACAGGATGTGCATAAAAGTCTACCACTTGCTGAAAAAGACCAAAGAATATATTTACACTATTGTACTTTATTTATGTATTGTAAGCAAAGACATGTTATATTTTTTGCGTTGGCATGCTTTCAGACCATGTGGTATTTGCATACAAGGTCTCTAATATTTATCTCATTCAGAAATAATATTCTTCGAAATAATGTTTCACCAATATATTGGCATTCAGGTGGGTTTTCCTTGTTCATATAGTTCTAATGACTTCACAAAAAGTTTTTCATCTGCTCTGTGCTTCATCAAAAATTGACCATTGAGGTGAAAAACTGGAATATCATAGCGGTATTTCTCAAACCAGATTTTGTTTCCCTTGGCTTCGATGTCAACTTCTTCAAATTTGAACTGTAGAAAATGAAACATTTTATAAACAAAACCACTTGGGCAAGTTCAACTGCATATACTTACATTTCACTGTAAAATTACAGTCAAAATGTGTTATTGCGTTAAGACTTTATTGATCCCAACCAGGTTAGGAAAAAATGTAATTGTATAGAATAGAACATTAAGAGAAGGTGTTTTTTACAGTAGGGGAGCGTTTATTCCTAATGAGGCTTTGGAGGGGGCTATTATTTATTCAAACAAGGTACATGAGGTTGTTCTGTACTACCTACCCTGTGCTTATACTTGTTAACTACCGCCATAGCTGTTTCACAGAGACTGCAGTCATCCTAAAAATGAATAAAGATGAACAGTTAAATTTTGACATGTTGACCAACTGATTCGCTTTTCATTTTGAAAGCTCAAACAGGTGTAATAATCAACCTCATTATGATGAAGCTTTGAAGAGTGTAGCTTTCCTTTTGTTGTAAGGAAAGATATAGGGGCTTAATATTGCGCCTCTCTGGTTTTACGGTATACACAATTTGAATTTAGGGTCCAGAAAAAACGGAAGGTAAGCATTTAACCTTGGGCCGTCTCAAGAGGAGTTGCATGGAGTAATATACACCTCAAAATCTAATGTAGAAGCGGTTGGTGCATCAATTGTGGCTTGGACTCCCAACCTTGAGGTCAGGGGTTCGAAACTCTCGCTGTGCAAGTCGCTTGCGTCCTTGGGCAAAGCACTTTACCTACGGTTGTCTCTCTCCACCCAGAAGTACAAGTTAGTACCTGGTAGGCTCAAACACTGATTACAGATGCAACATTATAGAATTCTCCCAAGTGACCTGAGCATGTGTTCAATTTGTGCTTGATCCAATGACCAGGGGTATTAATGCTAAGCGCATAGAGGTCTCTACAATATGCAGTATACAAGTCGACAATTATTACTGTAATATTCAAACAACATAAAACGAAACAGAGGGGAAAACAACAAGTATCCAGGGGTCTCAATTTCGAAGAAGCAGCTTCTAGGAGATCTGTTTAAAATTTGGTATCACCGGTCCCCTTCTTAGCTTCTGATTATTTCTCTAATCACAGTCAATGTGTGGTTATTGACGGTTTTTGTTCTAAATCCAAACCCGTTCCATCTGGCGTCCCCCAAAGGTCTATCCTTGGTCCTTTATTTTTTAATTTATTCATTAATGATCTTCCTTATTTTGTCAATAACTCACATTGCCTTATGTACGATGATGATCTGAAGCTGTATCGTATTGTCGGGACTGAGAGTGATGCCAGGGGTCTTCAGGAAGATCTTGATGCTG